CTGAGGCTTACGTGGTGGGTCAGCAGCAGAGCCGGGGTCTCCTGACAGCAGCGCACTGAAGGGCTTTGGAGGGAAGCAGTGTAGCTGAGGCGGCTTGTCTGTCATTGCTCATATTATTCCAGAGGAAGTCTAAAAAAGCCTAACTCCATCTTTGACTTTCTTGGGACAACTTCATATAAGCAGATATAAATGAATTGTAAGAGAGAGTAAATTAATTTTTTTTTTTGTCTTTTTTCCGTGTCCGGCAACGGATCGCAACCCTCAGTGTCGCCCCCGTACCAGACCGGGACCGGCAACGAGATCGCAACCCTCGGTGTTGCCCCCGCGCCTCGCTCAGCCAGTGAGCGGGAACCGGTCTGTATGTGGGATCCGAACCCTCGGCGGGAGCGCTGCCGCGCTTCCCAAGCAGCGCACTAGCGCAGTGCGCCACCGGGCCGGCCCCGTAAATTAATTTTAAAACCTCAGTTCTGATCATTTTTCTTGAGAGATGGGTGTCAAGGAATTTCTTTTCTTGGATAGGAACAATATTCTCATATAAACTAAATGTTTCTTTTAAGATTTCTATAAAGAAAGATCATTTAGTTAGCTGATAATAACTTCTCTTGTTTATGCTATCATCCCAAGAAGTGACTAAATTGTAGTTTATAGATAACTGGCTGTCTTATGCTTATATCCCCATACTCCAAGTCCACAGGCAACCACTGATCTACTTTCTGTAGTAAGAGATTAGTATATAAAAATAAATGGGATATAAATGGTATAAATGGGCCGGCCCATGGCTCACTTGGGAGAGCATGGTGCTGACAACACCAAGCCAGGGGTTAAGATCCCCTTATTGATCATCTTTGAAAAAAAAAAAAAATCAGGTTGTTTTCTTATTATTGAGTTTTGAGAGTTCTTTAAATATTCTGGATAAAAGTCCATTATCAGGTATATGACTTGTAAATATTTTCTCCCAGACTATGTCTTGTCTTTTCATAATAAATAATATGAAAAGCACCTTTTATGTACTAAACAGGCAGACACAGCTGAAGATAGAACTCATTAACTGAAAGATATATCTTAAGAAAGTACCTAGGGCCGGCCCCGTGGCGCACTCGGGAGAGTGCGGCGCTGGGAGCGCAGTGACGCTCCCGCCGCGGGTTCGGATCCTATATAGGAATGGCCGGTGCGCTCACTGGCTGAGCGCGGTGCGGGCGACACCAAGCCAAGGGTTGAGATTCCCTTACCAGTCACGAAAAAGACAAAAAAAAAAAAAAGTACCTAGAACATAGTACAAAGAGACAAAGAAAAAAACATGAAAAAAATTGAGACAAATAGAGTAAAATAAAAGATGGATGTCTAATCAGAGTTCCAAAATAAGAAAACAGAAATAATGTGGAAGATGAAATACCTGTACAGATAATAGTACAGAAACTTCCAGGGCCGGCCCGGTGGCGCACTGCTACAGTGCGCCGCTTGGGAAGCGCGGCGGCGCTCCCACCGAGGGTTCAGATCCCACATACAGACCGGCCGCTCACTGGCTGAGCGAGGAGCGGGGGCAACACCGAGGGCTGCGATCCCGTTGCTGGTCCCGGTCCGGTACGGGCGCGACACTGAGGGTTGCGATCCGTTGCCAGTCATGAAAAAAAAGACAAAAAAAAAAAAAAAAGAAACTTCCAGAATTGTTGATAGATACCAATCCTCAGAACCAGTAAACTCAACAGAGAAATTAAAAGAAATCCACATCTAGTTCTGCTCAAAATGGAGGGTTATTTAATCTTAATTAAATCCCCAAACTCCACTAAATTATAATAAAGGGATTTCTGACCTTAAATAATATAAAATCATAGAAGCATGACTATCAGGAGTGGAGACGACAAAAATGTTTGGAAGCTGACAAGAGAATGGATGAGAAATAATTGAACTAGGATGTCTGAGACAAACCTCAAGGCAGAAGTGAAATTGGATAAACGACCCAGTTACATCACACCATCTTAAAGCTTCAGGAATTGGCAACCCCATGTACCTTCTGGAATGGGGAATGAAATGGAGGGCATCTAAAATAAGGCAGATTGAGTGAAAGATATTTAAGAAGCAGTTAAATCCCTAGATCTCCTCCCCAATGCCATGCTCCTGGGTGACTGCCTCTCCTACAGTGGCAGAAGTCTAGACGTTTTTCTCTAGACAACTGAAATGTTATCTGGCTTGGGAGACAATAGACAACATTGAGTCCTAGATACCATATGAAAAACAGGGAGGCTGAGTAACCATATTAATAATAAATGCTTCCAGAAATCCTCACATTTCTGGTCAATTAATCTGACAAAGGTATCAAGACAATTCGATGGGGAAAGAATAATATTTCCACCAAATGGTGCTGAGATAACTGGATATTTACATGCTAAAGAATGAACTTGGATCTCTATCTCATATCATGTACAGAAATTAACTCAAAATAGATCACAGACCCAAATATAAAAGCTAAATCTATAAAGGTCTTAGAAGAAAACTCAGGAAGCAGGATCAGTTGACCGTGACCATTTATTGGATATATAGGAAAAACTAACTCAGATTTTAAGCCAGGTTGGCTGAGAAAAAAAGAAAAAATGTGCTTCCAAGACACTAAGCAGAATGTGCCTTCTCTCTTCGCCATTTGGCACTGTATCCTTTTACCACAGTAAATCATAGCCATTAAGTACAAATACATGCTGAGTCCTCCTAGCAAATCATGGAACCTGGGGATGGTCTTGAAACCCCAACACAGGCATATATAACAGGAATAAATCAATTTGCCTTTACAGCATAAAGTCAAACCAGCACATGGATTAAGCTGACTTGTTGACTTGCAATTTTCAGAGAGCAGAACCTGCCTAGCCTCTTGCCTCAGCAGCTGCTAATGGGCATGAATCACAGCAACCCAGCCTCTTGCCCTTCCCTCCCAACCCACGCTCACTCCTTCCCTCACAGCTGCTGCTTGGTGTGTTCTTGGCTGTCTCAGCCCACAGGCAGAAGGTTTAGCATGCCATCATTCTAAATCCAGGGTATACACAAAAACATTTTTGGGGAAAGACGTTTTTAACATCTTATTAACTTAAAAATGCACGTAAAAGTGCTTTGTAGACAATAAAGTGCTTTACAAGGTAATGTATCATTAGGCTTAAAAGGCAGGCGTGTATGCCATAAAATATAGAACATCTTTGATGTAATGCTTCCAGCACAAAGTTATTTCTCTAGACTAGGTATCATACCTTCCTCTAATTACAAGCTCACATAAAGGGTACAAACACATTTTTAATTTTGGTTTCAGGTTTAAGTTTTGTAGGCCTTAAAATGAATACATTATCTTCATGTTAACAGAAAACAACTTCAAGGAAGACAAGATCACAGACCCATCACCTCAAACTGGTATATACACTTTATTATACCATTGGAATCCTTTCCTTCTAAGTCCTTTCTGTATGTCATATATACACACACCCCACCTCAACGCAACACCTATTCAATATGTTTATTTCACCTTTCCTGAAGTTCAGGTCATAGTAAATCTTAGTACTCAAAAGGATTTTCCAACCTCTTTGGACAAGTTAGTTTTGAATGTTGACTATAGTGTATGCCTGTACCTGGATGTTCCCAAATCTGGCAGGGCAGCATAGTCATATGGGGAGTTTTCTAGGCCCCCCTCCAGATTTACTGAATCAAAATTTCTATCAATGGGGTCTGTATCGCTATTTCTTAAGACTTCCTGAAAGCAGATATGCCTAGGAGAACTCTATAGAGGCTCTAGGTTTGGAGTGAACAAGTATGTCAGAAGTCAGAACCGAGAAGAGGATTTATGGAACGATCTTTAGAAACTGGGGTATAAAGGAAGGAGATTTTATAATCTTGACATCAGGAATATTTCTCCCTAAGTTGCACAAGGATTATGACACTGAAATCAAAGAGAAGAAAATATAATCTAGTATACTACATGGCTCTGCAGTGGATAATGTCTGCAAAATCTAAAATAATAAAACTACTAAATGGTTTTCAACTTTATAACCAATGCATAGACAAAGTACAAAAGGCTTAATTATAGTTAGATAACAGTACACAAATATTGTCAGCCTTGACAACATAAAAATCTGGTACAGCTGAAAGAGATGGAAAGAGGGAAGGGAACATGGAGAAGGGGAGGTGGTGGGAAGGAAAGAGGAAGGTCCAGAGTACCATATAAAGTTGATAGTCCAAAAAACAGAGATTTAAGTATATTACTTAGTCACAAAGGTAGCCAGTAAAAGAACTAAAATAGCAATTCAATAATAATAAGTTGGGAAAGTAGAGAGGTGAAGTAACTTGCTCAAATTCAGCTAGAAAGTACCAAAGCCAGTGAACTGTACACAGGCTTCTCACACACCTTTTTCCAGAAAAGGCCAGCTTGAAAATTTCCCCATCTGCTCATTCTTCCAACACACACCAACATTTCTTAAAAAGAACCAACCCTTCCATAGTCTTCCTCACCTGCAATCAATGTTGAACCTATTTTCCAACTCCACACCATAGTGATAGAGGAAGCTACTGCTCTCCGAGTCAACTGTTAGGAAGACTTCAGCCACCTATCCATTTTGTCTTTCAAAACCCGACATAAGGATCAGACATCAACAATGAAAATACAAAGCAAGTCTGCCTACTCAACTCTGAGTCCAGAGACCAAACCGCCTGCTTTCACAGAGCCAAGCCAGAGTCATGTGCATGGAGGCCCAGCCCTGCCTGCTCCAGGAGAGGAAGCGGGCAGCAGTGTGTGAGGGGTGGTCAGAGGGACTGCTGTGATCAAGGCACTATCTGCTTCATGGACCACAGTGTGGACTGGTAAAACTACTCAGTGACCACTTCTTTATAACTTCATGAGATGTTTTGAAATATTTAATAGAAATGACAATTTCTACTCCAAAAATAATTCTTCAATAATGAGTTATAACCCAAACCCATTAGTACCTGTAAAGAGCAATTTAAAAAACTCACTTTAATTCACTATTACTTACCCCATTTTCAGTGCGTTTTTCTCCAGGTACATTTATTACATTTCTCTGAGTTCTTTGCTCTTGGGTCTGACGGCCACCTAAAGAAATCAAAGGACCAAACTTACTAAAAGACATACTTATGGAGAAAAAACCATATTCTCCTATTTCTTCATTTATTCAAATATTTATTGAACTCAAGAGTAAAATACCAGGCTGAAAAATTCAAGACTTAGTACAGCTGAAAAGGTGTTTTACAATTAATCTTTTATAGGCTTCCAAGACGGTGGACTAGATGGTCCCCAGTGTCACTCTCTCCCACAAATAAACCAATTTACAACTATTAAAAAGCAACAACAGCCAACCTGGGGCCTCCAGAGCTCAGGGGAAGAGGAGGAGAGACCCATGGAGTGCACGAAGGCAAGAGAAGCCACGATGAGAGAAAGAAAGGATAGCTGCCACCATCTTGAATCCTGGCCGTTTCAAGTCTGGAGTTGGTGAGCACACGGAGCAAGAGCTGGCAAAATCCACAGCTGTGCCTTTCATATGAAATTGCTTGGAGGTGGCAGGGGAGAGGTGGACCTTGGTGGCCTCCAGGCCACAGGGTTCCCGTGGACCCACATAGGAGTGAGGAGCCAACAACTGAAAAAAGGAGCCACTCAGAGGCCAGTGAGTCATCACAAGGGACCAGCACACGGCCTGTCCCATGGGAAGTGTTTGGAGTGCAGGAGGTGGGATAGACGGGCCACTCGAGGAACACTGGGACACAGCATGGACAGCTGATCTGCCCCCAATCAGCACAGAACCATTCAGTGGAGACTGGTCAGTAATATAGAACTGTAAGGGATGCAGTTTGCTAAAGACTCAGACCCAGACCAGAGTTTCCACACAACCCAGGTATACTGGAACTCACAAGACCCGGAAGTCAAAAATTAAAACCTGAGATGCACAAAAAGCCTTCCCCAGGGAATCAGCAGCAAAGCAGCAATTTAGCTCAACCACAGGGCTCAAATGCTGGTCCCCAGAGGAAGTTCCTCCATTTTAGAAATAAGCAAAGGACAACAAATTAGTTCTAGTACAGAGTTTAAGTGGTGGGAACAGCAAATAATCCAACACAGAACTGAAAGAAAAACAAAATACCAATAGATCAAAGACAAAGTTTGATATTAACTAGTAACAGTCTCACATCACCAAAGAACATCTATAAAACCTAGAAGGATGGAAGCCCCCTGGGCTCCCAGGCCAGGGAATAGGGAGGGCTGGGGGTCCCAGCCATGACCCCTGACATCCGCAACCAGACCAGCAATGTCCACCAGGCTGCCACAGGAAGCACCCCAGGCTCCTGAGCCAGGGCAGTGGGGGGGCTCGGGCCTTGGCCATGCCCCCTCAACAACTGCAACCAGCCCAGTGATGACCACCAAGAAGCCTCAGGAAGTGCCCTGGGCTCTGGAGCTGGGGTGGTGGGGGACTGAGGGCCTCAGCCACACCACCCTGACACCCACAACCAGCCTAGCAAATGACCACCAAGCCGCTGCACGAATGCCCCAGGATTGGGAGTTGGGGGGCCGAGAGCCTTGGTCACACCCTCCTAACATCTGCAACCAGCCCAGTGGTGATAATCGAGCCACCGCTGGAAGCCCCCTCGTCTCCTCTGCAGGAATGAGGGGGATGCCATGGCCTCAACCACGCTCTCCCTCCTGCCTCCTTCTCCCACTCTGGTTCCATCCCCTCTCCCCCAACTGCTCTGCAACATCATCTTAGAATGTTAAAAATATATATATATTAATAAACTGATAAAAATTAATCTCTTATACATAAAATTGTTTAAACAAAACCTTTTTACATTCTATCTCAGATCCTGAAATTGACTTATCAAAAGGCTTTTGGCATTTAAAAATGGTGAAGACGGCAAATTTAATGTTATGTGTATTTTACCACAATTAAAAATAATTTTTTTTTTTTTTTTTAAAGATGACCGGTAAGGGGATCTTAACCCTTGACTTGGTGTCAGCACCACACTCTCCCAAGTGAGCCACGGACCAGCCCCAAAATAAGATTTTTTTCAAAAAGGCTTTGACATTTTAGAAGAGACTAAAATAGAATTTATCAAGTAATGAAAAAATGGATGCAAAAAATTGATCTTCGCTAATATTAGGGTTAACACTGAGATGGGACATCATTTCAAATTTGGCAGTCTTTATGAATTCCCCTTTGTTCATACAAATAAAAATGTTTAAAAAGGCATCAAATTTAAACTGGAAAAATTTTTCATATATCCTGTCATATTTTTAACATAAAGTGTGATGCACAGTTCTGTAGTAGGTGACTTAGAAATAATACAAGTTAATGTCTCTGAGTTGCTGTATGCCTGCTCCTACCTCATCCCATCCCCCCAGCTTTTACTTGATGCTATTTTGAGAATTATCATACCCCAAAGCCCACTCTGTTGTGCTAGGATATATTACACTATACAGGATGATGAATCGAAGGTTTAAAAAAAAAATAGAAAAACTTTTTTTCTTCTATTCATTTCTTATTATTCGAAAAATTTGAAGAAAAATTGTATTATGGAAGTACTGATTCACCTTAAACCATGCATTATCAAAGTGGGTGATAAAATACAGGGGTAAAAAATAGTTAACACTTTTTATGTATAAAGCAAAGTTATATAGTACATAAATGTATATATGGTATATCCAATGGGGGAAGGATGAGGAACAAGTAAGAATAAAATGTTCAAAAAAGAGCAATAATGAAAAAAAAGATTATGAAACTTATGCCACTATCAGTTTACAAGGTAAGTTAAATTCTTAGTTATTCTTAGTATTTTTTAAGGAGTAAGATATTCAGGTTAATTTAATATTCTTCAGGGCTGGCCCATGGCTCACTTGGGAGAGTGTGGTACTGATAACACCAAGGCCTCAGGTTCAGATCCCTATATAGGGATGGCCGGTTAGCTCACTTGGGAGAGCGTGATGCTGACAAAACCAAGACAAGGGTTAAGACCCCCTTACCAGTCATCTTAAAAAAAAAAAAAGAAAAAAATTCTTCAACTGCTACTTCTTCCAAACAACAAACTATCAAGAAATTAGAATACTATAAAGGCACAACATTAAAATTATACCAAGTGTCACTTCATCTTTGATGGTAAAGAAGAAAGTTAATGATCTTGCATTTCAGAGTCAGAAAATACTGAAGAATAACCTGACATTTAGTGAGCACTTACTCTGCACCAACCCCCCTCTAAGCACTTCACAAGGACATCTCATCAACCCTCACCACAACTGCACAAGGCAATGTACACCCTGCAGACAAGGAAATCAAGGCACAGGGAGGTAAAGTCACCCGCCAAGGTCCTGTCTTAAGTAAACAGTAAGCCCAGGATTGAACTCAGGCGGCCTGTCTCCTAACTCTACCGCACCGCCTCCTGGGTTCTAGGTTATGTTCTGCAATTAGCTGGTTGTATGACCTTCACTGAGTTATTTACTGCTCTAAATTGCTGTTTCCCGTGTAAAGGAGATTGAAGTAAATCTCCTCTACTTTCTCCTCCGGCTTCTAAATAGAGAATTCTCACCCCTTTTAGTTTAGGAGTATCTTTTCCTTCTTGTTATATCCTATAGTTCTACACACAATAAACATTCAAATGTAATTCCCTTTAAATAATATCAATTGGTGATAACTGCTTTGCCCTTAGCAAGAATTATGAGCCTTGGGCCTAAACCTGGCTCCTCAGAATATAAGTTGGAGAGAGAAATCCAGCGAGTAAAAGCAAGACAAAGCAGAGAACACAACACCCCCGTGAGCTGCTCTCTCTGCCATCCTTCTCTTCAGCTCTGAGAGGCAGAGTATCCATGAGCACAAGCAGAGGGCAAGAGCATTACAGATGGGGGGAGATGGAATTCTGAGGGCACAAAAGAGAGAATGAATTTGTAAGAATGAATGAGACTGGAAGAGAGAAAGAAGGGATAATGTGGCTGAAGACATAGGTCAGGTCACATTACAAATGCCATCAAAGCTAATTTAAGGAGTGTTTTGGGCTTTTTTGTTTGTTTTTTTGTCTTTTTCATGACCGGTAAGGGAATCGCAACCCTTGGCTTGGTGTCGCCCACATCGGGCTCAGCCAGTGAGTGCACCATAGGATACGAACCCGCGGTGGGAGCGTCGCTGCGCTCCCAGCCCCGCACTCTCCCGAGTGCGCCACAGGGGCCGGCCCTAAGGAGTGTTAAATACAGAAGCAGGGACTCTGCTCAAAGTCCTGCGTAACAATGAAAGTGGTCCGACACACTTCATCCAGTCCTGACCAATCTCCTGCACCAGCTCCAGGTGAGAAGGGGTATCCTTTGATACCACACACTTCACTGCACCTCTCAAAGCTCCCCTCATCCTAATCCCCTGCCTGGAGTGCGGTAGCTCTGCACACTCCCCTTCAAGTTCTGCTCCTCAAGGTCCACGTCAAGCCCCATCTCCTGCAGGACGTCCTTCTCAAGCCCCAGTCTGTACTGGGGCTATCTCCTCAATACCATGCAGCTCAGCGCCAGCTATGCCCGCTTATCTCACATGGACTTACTCTGTCGCCACAGACTGAGCAGCACATGGCATGACGATGATGTCAACCTGACAACCAGTCCTGTCACCTTCCTTACGACTCTAGACACTCTCTTAAGTAATCCCTCACATTTCTAAACTTTATAAAGCAAGAAGAAAACAGGTCCCATCCCCAAAACATTAGGGGTTATGTACACATATTACATCAATAAAAGCAAAAATAAAACTTTTTATTTAAGGATAGCTAGGTAAGGGAAGAGTATAGATATTTGCAGAGCTCAGGTACCAAGTTAAAATAAATCCTTAGCACTAGAACAGCATTTTATTTATTTATTTTATTTATTATTTTTTATTTTTATTCTATTTTAGAACAGCATTTTAACTGTAGGTTAGTCTAATCTTCCTTCTCAGGAGGATTTTTCCAGAGAGGAAGAGTCTTGTCTAAAGTAAAAGTGGATGAAGAGCTGCACCTGGAGCCTCGGTGTCCTGACTCCACATGATCAGGAGCAGTATTTTAAAATACAGCATTATAGGGCCGGCCCAGTGGCGCACTGCTACAGTGCGTCGCTTGGGAGCCTGGCGGCACTCCTGCTGAGGGTTCGGATCCCACATACAGACTGGTTCCCGCTCACTGGCTGAGCGAGGTGCGGGCGCAGCACCGAGGTTTGCGATCCCGTTGCCGGTCCCGGTCCGGTACGAGTGCGACACTGAGGGTTGCGATCCGTTGCCGGACACGAAAAAAGACAAAAAGGAAAAAAATAAAAAAAATAAAAAATAAATAAATAAAACACAGCATTATAACAATATTTACAGCTGGGGAAAGATGATTTTAAAGCAGACAGTAGCTCATCCAAGGCGCAAAATTTCCTTTAACAGAAAATACAAATAAAGAGGGATAACTTGCAATAAGGGAATTTTCTTTTTACAAAAGGATGTCTTTTCATATGTCTTGAGTTTATTTTTTAAATATCAGAAGTAATCCATAATCACTAAAAATTTAAAGATCTCTTAACTATATAGTGTATATGTGTTCAGAAAAAAAAAGAAGATTCCCTTATTTTCTTTAAATTTTAATTCACAAATATGTAATACATTATTCCCATGGTTCAAAATTTAAAAGGAACAAAATGGTGTGCAATGAACAACCCTCCCTCCCTGTCCTGCACCACCCTGTCCTCTCCATCCTGCTTTCTCCCCACGCCCCTGGCTAACCACATTACCAGTTTTTTATAGATGCTTCCAAAGATATGTTATACATTTAAGAGCAGATACACACACATGACTATTCTTCTGTCATCTTTACACAAAAGGTGGCACAGTATGCACACTGTTTTGTAACATGCTTTATTCACTTAACATGTCTAGGAGATGGTCTGAGCCAGAGCAGAGTCTCTGCAGAATGTTCCACTGTGGGCATGGACCATAATTTAGTGAGGCTGACTCCCTATTGGGCATTAGGTTGTCCCTTCCAGCAATGTTCAATGAGTAACACTGTATATATCATTTTGTATTTGTCTGGGCACAACTTTAGGATAAATTCTCAGAGTGAGATTGCTTGATGAAAGGTTTTAGGCATTTATGTGTTTAATAGCTATTGCTAAATTGCCCTCTACAGAAGTTGCCAACTGACACCCCCACAGCAATGCAGAAGAATGCCTGTCTCTCAACCTCCTTGTCAGCACTGTGCTATTAAATGTTCTAATCTTAGCCAATAGGACAGGTCAAACATAGTATCTCAGTGTAGTTTTCCCTGCAGTTTTTTTTATCAGGAGTAAGGCTGAACATCTTTTTATATAACCTAGGGCCATGTATATTTCCTTTTCTGTGAACTGCATGAGCATATTTTCCCATTATTGTACTACTGTTTTTTTTCTTATCAATTTTTAGGAACTCTTTACATGTAAAGGAAATTAGCCCTCTGCAATATGAGCTACAAATGTTTCCCAGTCTCTTGACCTTGTTTAGGATGGTTATTGCCATGCAGTCTTTTTTGTTTTCGTTTTTAAACAATTTATCAGTCTTATCTTCTATGGTTTATTGTCACACTTAGAAAGGCCCTGACCACTCTAAACATAAAGAGTTTATTTTTAAAATCTAGATGTTTGACCCATCACAAAAGGTATTTATCAAAAATCATCCCTTTAAACAGCATGTCCCGGGGCCGGCCTGTGGCTCACTCGGGAGAGTGCGGTGCTGATAACACCAAGGCCCCGGGTTCGGATCCCATATAGGGATGGCCGGTTCGCTCACTGGCTGAGCGTGGTGCTGACAACACCAAGTCAAGGGTTAAGATCCCCTTACCGGTCATCTTTAAAAAAATAAATAAATAAAATAAATAAATAAATAAATAAACAGCATGTCCCTTTACGTGTTTGAGTGCGTTATCTGACTGTCTAGGGGTCCTTGAGAAAGAAGCACAGAAGGCACAGAAACACAAGATACCAGCCCTCCCTCACACCACTTGTGAATGAAGGGGGGAAAGTGTGAATAATTCATTTTGATATTTATTCCTATTTCTCTTAAATTAACTTTTACGGCAAAAATTAACAAATGAGGAAGGAAGTGTTTATCTACCTTGTTCACTGCTCTCAGCTGGGGAGTCCTCATGTCGAAGGAAAAATTTCACTTCTTCCCTCCGTGGCCCCCACTTCTGCAGATGTTCATACATCATATGATCAAAAGGTATGGGACGCTCTAGGAAAAAGACCTCATCTTATTCCAGAAACAAAATGACTCCAACCAAAAGTAAAAAATAAATAGAAAATGAAGTTAAATAATCGTACACATACTCATATTCAAGTATATTACAAGCACTGATTTTTTTCTGCAAGCATTACATTTTAATTTTAATGAATAAAAGAAGGAATATAAATGGGAAATAATTTAGGCAACAAACAGAAGAAGTATCCATTAAAGCAATTTTGCAACATTAATAGGGAACACTGAAAATATGCCCTTTACCATACTTATCAGGATGCAGTGTGCCTCCCATTCTTCAGAAAAATGTAACTGGCCAAGCCATGTTTTTCATTAAAATGTTACACATGACAATTGGATGCACAAAGGCTGGACAGGACACTTCCTGGCACTTCAGGCAATATTAATGTGAATGTCTGCCAGCACTTGCAGAGACCAAAATTTACCAAATAATAAAAATTAAATTCTATAGAATTAAATAAATGCATTTCAAAATTTTTTAAGAAAGCAAAGCTCACAGAATATCTCTTCACCAATTTCTAGAAGAGAATACTAACATAGTTGTTAAATTTAAAAGTACTATTTTTATGTTTATAATGCATTCCATTTTTCTTTTCTGTTGAGCTGTCTGTATGCCCATTAAAAAAAAAAAAAATCTGTCAGCTGCCAAAAAAAAAAAAAAAAAAAAAAAAAAAAAAAAAAAACCCGGTGCTTGCCCTTTTTTTTTTTTTTTGGCGCTGGCAAATTTTTTTTTTTTTTAATGGGCAAACAGACAGCCCAAAAAAAAAAAAAAAAAAAAAAAAGAAAAGAAAAATCCAGTTGCTTGCCTCTTTCTTAGCTATTTCAGAGAGTTCTGGATACTAATAGACTTGTCTTTTAGTTTTGTTGGTATATTTTTTGTACAGAAGTTTAAAAAATTTAATGTAAGCAATTACTAATCTTTTCCAATTTTAAGTTTTTGCATAATAAATATTTCTTTACTCAAGGTCAAAAAGATATTCTCTTATGTTCCCTCTACAAATTTTAAAGTATTCCTTTTCACTGACTTTATGGAATTTATTTCTGTGTATGACATAAAGATCTGCTTTTATTTTTTCCTACTTGAATAATCAATAGTCCCAGCATCATTTATTAAATGGCTACAGACATTTTTGGATTTAGTTCCCCCATCTTATTTTGAGTCCTCTTCCCACCCCCATCCTTTTCTGATTTCTCTTGGATTAATAACATTTTCTGTGTTCCCCCTTTTACCCTCGTGCCCATGTGAGACATAGTTCTAAGTACTTTACAGGCACTGTATACTTTAATCCTCATTATTACCAGTGGCAATAAGCCTGGCCTTGGCTTATCTCAGGTGCAGCACACCTTCAGGCCTACTGCTCCACAGGATCCCAACTCTCAGCCCTGCTGCCTGCTTCTAGCAGAGGCCAGCAGACCTACAGCTTCGGTTCCACTGCTGTCTTACACTTTTGCTCCACAGCAGTTGCATAGGGATGTTTACCTTCATTGTCGCCTTTTTTTTTTTTTAACGTGAGAGTATCTTTTTAGTTTTTATATATTTTCTCTACACTTTTTTTTTTTTTTTTTTTTAGCAATCTGAAGCAGAAGGGGTGCTTCGAATCACAACCTAATGCACCAATTTGGCCAATCTTAATTCTTCAGGTTGGTTAAATCTTGTATATCCACTGTCCTTAGTTTTTAAGTCTATTTTGGTTATTTAGGCAAGAAGGATTCTCATTGTTGCCTTCAATTTCACACACAGACTTGAAACCTCATATGGTTATCAAGCTACCTTGTTCAACTAACTTTAATCCAAGTAGAAGACAGAAGGCCAAAGATGTATGATCAATAAGTTTGCAATCCCAACTTCTCCTTCTTGGCCCTGAATGCCATAAAAATTTGTAACACTAACCTGTGCTTATATTTACCAAAAAAAAAAAAAAAAAAAGATCCACACAAACCAGTATCATAACTGGATCTCACACCTTCACTTCCAGGGGCATTTTGGTGGTGTTCTTTTCAGCTTCTAAGTCGTGCAAAGGTAGAAACCTGCCCACTAAGTCCAAAGAACTGTATCCAAAGGCAGCCAGATTATCAACCTACATACAGGTGAATGTAGTATATGCAGCAAGATCGCTTTAATTAATTTTCAATTTAAATTTTAACTAATCTTTTAGACAGTCAAAGTGTTTATATCAACTCACATGCTCTCTTAAGAAACACAATGAAAAAAGAGTTTACAAAACTAGCATATAAAAACCCTAGAATGATCTGGGGGATAGACTGGTTAATAGATTTCAGCCAATCCTGTTTTTAGTCCGACCATTTTCAAAAGCACTAAAACCAAGTAATGGACTAGCAGATACAAAACTATGCTATCTACCCTAAGTGAATCAATGTATAATATTGAATCAATGCATGTGTTGAAACAACACACTGTACCCCACAAATATGCACAAATGTTAAAAAATAAAAAATAAAAAAATATTTATCTAATAAACTAAAAATGAACAAAAACAAAAAAAACAAAAGCACTAAACCCTGAGATTTCTTAACCTTTACTAGCCTCTGTGGCACAAATCAACCCTCTTTCCATAATGCTACCTTAGATTTTAGCTTTTTGGGGTCTGCTAAGTCATTCACCACTTGTCCATATGTTGCGTATTCCAAAATATTATATGATATCACATTCTGTTCTTTGACCCTGTAGCTTTAGGCTATTTTATCCCTTTATTGTTGTGTTAGTGTAATTTCAGGAGGGGACAAAGATTAATCTGTGTACATGTATATTTTATCTGCCTTACTTAACCAGAAACCCATGATGTTCTCAGTCTATAAAACAGGGTTTCTTCACTGGGATTCTACGGACCCCCAGAGTTCTACGAGATGTAACTAAGAGTTCCATGAGGTATCATAGCTAAAAAAATTGAGCATTTTTTGAACTTCACATGGCATGCAATGCTAGCACTTGCAGTGATGGACAACAGTCAAGCACCCTGTTAGCAATTTCAGTAGTGGTGTCTCAGCCCTGTATGGTAGTGCACGGACGACCATGTTCCCTTGGCCAAGCTCATTCTCAATCTGGCAGTTGGTAACTGGTGAAAATGGTACTGCATGGAGGGGAAGATAGCAGGCTGATGGCATCAGCCTCTCCCCACAATCTCCCCAACACCTCCTTACATGTTGGTGACTGACTTATAGGAGCAAACAAGCTCTATCCCTGCAATAGGAAATTGGAGGGAATTTTTCATTCTAGAGAGAGAATATTTACACCTCATGAGCTCATCCCCCACCTCCCCTCCCGCCAGTTCTTTGCTCTTGTTAACATTAATAAACTTGGATTGTGTAGGTTAAAAGTAAATTATATTGTAAAATTTTCATATTTTTGCAATTCTTACTTAGTTGTGAATTATGTCTTTGTTTCATATTTTACTAGTGTTCGTGTGTCACAAACATGTCTTGCAGTCCAATGTGGCAATTTTTTTTTTTTTTTTGTCTTTTTTGTCTTTTTCCGTGTCCGGCAACGGATCACAACCCTCAGTGTTGCCCCCGTACCGGACCGGGGACCGGCAACGGGATCGCAACCCTCGGCGTTGCCCCCGCGCCTCGCTCAGCCAGTGAGCGGGAACCGGTCTGTATGTGGGATCCGAACCCTCGGGCGGGAGCGCCGCCGCGCTTCCCAAGCGGCGCACTTATCCAGTGTGCCACCGGGCCGGCCCGCAATGTGGCAATTTTTGAAGATGAGGTATAAGATAAAGAGAAGAATTCTAGACCTATGCCCACATTCAAGAGAACTGAAAACATATGCCCATACAAACACTTGGATAGCATTATTCATAGGAGCCAAAAAGGGGGAAAAACCCACTATGGTCTAAATGTTTGTACTCCCTCCCCAAATTCATATGTTGAAACCTAATCTTCGACATAATAGTATTAAGAGGTGGGGCCTTTAGAAGATGAATAGGTCATGAGGGCTCTGCCTTCATGGGGCTCTGCCTCACAAATGGGATTGTATAGGGCCGGCCCGGTGGCACACTGGAGAGTGCGCTGCTTGGGAGCGTGGCGGTGCTCCCGCCGAGGGTTCGGATCCCATGTGGAGACTGGTTCCCGCTCACTGGCTGAGCGCAGTGCAGGCGCGACACCGAGGGTTGTGATCCCGTTGCCGGTCCCCGGTGCGGGCGTGACGCCGAGGGTTGCGATCCCGTTACCGGTCAGTAAAAAAAGACAAAAAGGAAAAAAAAAAACAAATGGGATTGTATAAAAGGTCCAAGGGAGCTGGTTTACCCCTTTCACCATGTAAGGACACAGCAAGAAGGCACCATCTATAAAGCAGAGAGCTCTCAGCAGACAATGAATCTGATAGTACCTTGATACTGGACTTCAAAGCCTCCAGAAATTTGAACAATAAATTTCTATTGTTTAAAAATTACCAGTCTAGGGCCGGCCTGTGGCTCACTCGGGAGAGTGCAGTGGTGATAGCACCAAGGTCCCGGGTTCGGATCCCATATAGGGATGGCCGGTTCGCTCACTGGCTGAGCATGGTGCTGACAAGACTAAGTCAAGGGTTAAGATCCCCTTACCAGTCATCTTTAAAAAAAAAAAAAAAAAATTACCAGTCTAAGGTATTTTGTTATAGCAAATGTCCTACAACCAATAAATGGATAAACAAAATATGATATATCATGCAATGGAACATTATTCATTCATAAAAAAGAATGAAGTACTAATACATGCTACAACATGGATGAACCTTGAAAACATGCTTAGTCAAAGAAGCCAGACAAAAAAGTCCACATATTGTGTGATTCCACATATATGAGTGCCTAGAATAGTCAAATTCATAGAGTCAGAAAGTAGTATAGTGGTTGCCAGGAGCTGGAGGCAAGGAGAATGGGGAGGTACAGACTTTGGTGATGGTTGTACAACATTGTGAACGTACTAAAAACCACTGAGCTGTATACTTTAAAATGGTGATTTTTATACTATGTGAATTTTAT